GTATATTTTATAGGTATGTTTAATTTGAGATGTCAAAATCTTTTGAAAACCACTTAAATTCAAATAATTTTCCACATCTTGCTTTCCTTTTTCTGGTTTTTATAAAGAATGAAGTTAAACTTATATCTCTAAAATTAACCTTGAACTAAAAATATTTCTTACAACTAGTGGCAAATTGTAAAAGTCAGAACTTCATTAGATGAAAAGTACCAGTACCAAAGAGGCAACAATTGTGCAGTCAGTAATTCATAGGGTTGTTGTCAATTATTTATGAGGTAATGTAAGAATAACAGTGGAGAGAGACAGAAATTAAAGCAAGATGTGAAGAGAAAATTTTTCAGTTTCTGCTCAGTGTAGCACTGTTCTTTAGCTAAAAACTGTTAAAGAAACTTCCTCACAATAAATAACTTCCACTGTTAAAAGCTCTCTCTGATGCTGGAGATTTGGATGAAGTAAATGCTCCTCTGACTCAGTACAAAGACAAAAGACACTTGAGTCAAACCTCTCCCTTTAATAATTCAAAGGTGTTCTCTTTTATTTAGAAACAGCTCTTTCCTTTTTTAAAATCCATCTTACAGGTAATGTTAAAGCTGTTTATCTAAATACTGCAGCTTTCTATGGAAGGTTATTTAACTCTTTTCCTGTTACTACTGTGAAATACTCATAAACAACCATTGCTACATGTAGAATGAAACACTATGTGTTTCCCAGATAGATTAATTTATTTAAGAGGAATAAATTAGAGGAATTAATAAATCAGATCCTTCAAAATGGTACTTATTGAGACTATTACAGGTAGATATGATTTATTCTCTTTTGATTGTAGTCTGCATCAATTCCTTCATGTAGGTCCAATAAATACCTCTGTCTGGAAGGTCTGACACAGTGTGAGGGAGAATAATGAAAGCACATGTAGGAGCATGAGATCATTGCTCATAAAGTGAAATTTGCCTGCTTATGGAATGAAAATAAACATGTAAGATTGGGTATCTATCTTTTTGTTTAGATCAATCAAGCTCTCAAACAACCAAATTCACATTTAATTGGAAAGAATATGAATAGATAGTTGATGATAGTAATTACATACTGTCATAAGCTTACAGTTGCACTCAAGTAGGATATGACATGCAATTGATATTTTATGAATACAATTTGCCACCTCTGTGAAAAATTTGAAGGTTTGGTTCATTGTCAAACACTAGTCTTTATATGGTGGCCTCTGTGTTTGTGGAGTTGCAACCATTACACAACTCTGATATTGATGGACCAATTTAAGTATCAAAATATCAATCTGTAAATTCTGAATGTGGTAGGCATTCCTTTTTTCCTCTTTATATTTTCTGGTCTTCATTTAAGTTTCTTTTAAATTTTGTAGTAATAATACTATGTAGAAAGATTTCCTTTGAGGCTACCAAATTGCAAGCAACTTACAATTGAAAATCATCCCAGCTGTTGTTCTTGACCTCTTGATAAATGTCCCTTAGGGGTCTGTATTGGCACCAGTGATATTTAATGTCTTCGTTAACAACATAAAGGGATTGAGTGCACCCTCAAAAAATTTGCTGCTGACACCAAGCTGAGTGGTGCAGATAACACTCCTGAAGGATGAGATGCCATCCAAAGGGACCTGGACAGGCTCAAGAAGTGACCTTCGGGAATTTCACATGGTTTAACAAAACCAAGTACAGGGTCCTGCACCTGAGCTGGGACAACTCCCAGTATAAACACAGGCTGGGGGATGCACAGATCCAGAGCAGCCCTGCCAGGGAGGATTTGGTGATGCTGGTGGGTGAGAGGCTGGACATGACCCAGTCATGGGCACTCACAGCCCAGAGAGCCAAAGGTGTCCTGGGCTGCATCCAGAGCCCCGTGGGCAGCAGGGGAGGGAGGGGATTCTGCCCCTCTGCTCTGCTCTGCTCTGGTGAGACCCCACCTGCAGGGCTGCAGCCAGCTCTGGGGTTCCAGCACAGGAAGGACATGGACCTGCTAGAGGAGGGCCACCAAGTTGATTAGAGGGATGGAGCACCTCTCCTATGAGGAAAGGCTGAGACACCTGGGATTGCTCAGCCTGGAAAAGAAAAGGCTTCAAGGTGACCTAATTGTGACCTTTCAGTACCTGAAAGGGAGCTTACAGGAAAGATGGAGTGAGACAATTCACAAGAGCATGTAGTGACAGGACAAGAGGAAAGGTGTCAGACTGAAAGAGGGTTGGTTTAGATTAGATTTTTCACCTGTGTGGGTGGTGAGGCACTGAAACTTGTTGCCCAGAGAAGTTGTGGAAGGCCCATCCCTGGAAGAGTTCAAGGCGAGGTTGGATGGGGCTCTGAGCAACCTGCTGTAGTTAAAAGTGTTCCTGCCCATAGCAGGGGGATTAGAACAAGATGATCTTCACTGTTCCCTTTCAACCCAAACCATGCTATGGTTTTATGATTTGGCAGTCACATGACATTTAAAAAGATGTGTCAATGTGAAATGCAGTTTCTCTTTGTTGCTTTTCCTGTTCAAGACTAGTAGTTCATGTTACAAAAGCAAGAAATTAAAAAATATAAACCTGAAAGTGCTCAAAAATGGAGGAGAAATATTAAGTTCAATGTCTGTACTGCAGCTGAGGCATAGAGATTTCCTTTCAAAATTTCTAAGTTGTATATATATGAGAAATAAACTCTCTGCATTCATTTGTGGGGTATGGAAAGAGGAGTTTGAGAATCCAGAGTCAACTATCTACATTGTTGCTCCACACATGAGGGTTTTTTCATGCTTGAGCTCCTGTTTTAATTTGGGTTTAGGAAAAGGTACCAAATTAATTAAGCAGGAGCATAATACATCCCTTGAAGAAGGCAGATAGGTTGAATACTTCCATAGCAGTCATTCTTAGGACAGCAATTGCTGCTAATGAACTTTGAGCTAAAGAAACCTGATAAATACCATGGCAAAGTAATTTCTTTCCACTAGGGAATTATTTACACCTCCTGTCTGCTTTTTGATCATTGCAGAAGTAAAAAAAAAAGTAAAAGGAGAATATAGATACTGAAATTTCTTACATGTTTTTCTTACAAGTTCTTTTACTGGAATATAAGTAGTTATCCCAGGATATACTGTTACATATCCAGGATTCCTGCCCACTTCTTATAGTAGTTAATAGGAAAAAGGGAGAGTCATATTTATAATTTTCTCAGATCTTTACAAGAGCTTTTGAACTTTTAGAACTCAAATATTAGAGACCATCTTCTGCAAAAGAATAAAATTTCAAAATCTACCAGGAGACTATTAATAGCAACAGACTAATTAGACATATAACAATTAAATATCTTTTTATTAGGCCATATTAACTATTAGCATTGAGAGGCCACCAGGTGAAACAGTCTCTGACAAAATCTTTTGTATTTTTCTGAAGTGATTCTTCTATATTTTAAAATTAATCTGATGGAGATTAGAAGAGTCAGGTTAAACATGTAAGTGAACAGTTTCTCTGTCTTTGTAGTAAGGATATCATTGGGTCTTCTATAAATTTACTGGAACTTTTCTGCCCTTAGAATATGTTTAGGTAGCTTATTCTCCAGAATTCAGCTGATTTCAGTTATCACATTCAGGGTCATGCTTTCTTGCTAGTTTTCACCAAAGCAATTTTCACATTACGTATTTAATTTACTTTGAAGCCTGGCTGGGCTAATACAATGTTTGGTATTAATGGTTAGAGGCTCCATCTCCCATTGATCTTATGAATTAATAATTTCAAGTCTTCTGCTCACACTTTAATTCACATAGAAAGGTAAGAATGCTTTTTGAACCACAAATAAGTGTACTGCTGCTTGCCTTTTTAATTGGATTGTATTCGGAGCTGGTGTACTACTACAGAATATCCCTAGGAACAATGATAAGCTTTTTCCCCTCATTACTCAGAAAATATGTACATATTCATTTCTGAAAGGTTGTACTATATAAGCCATAAAGTTTCAAATCATCTGACAGTCAGTCTAACAACTACCACAGCAGGACCATGTGCCAGTTCTCAGGAATACCAATATTTACTGGTCAAAAATCACTCTTAGTGTGTAGAGAATGAGCAGCAGCATAAAAGCTTTCAATTGCTGTCCACTGATTTTTCCACTCCATTTTTCTTCCAGTAGCAGTGACTTAGCAATAATGAGTGAAGATAATAGATATTATGGCAGGCAAAGCTGATAACTTACAGCTTTGAGTTTTACTATGGAAATACAAGTAAATAAAACATTTTTTATATTTTTCTCCCCTTTTTGAATATCACAGGAAATGATTCAGCTGTTCCTGAACCAGCTCCCAGAAACTGTCAGGTCCAGTGCTCCATCTCCTCTGCCGGGAGTTGCCATGGCAACATCTTCAGCTGAACTAAAAGGAATTACAGATAAATACTTATTTATTTTTTCCCCCTGGCTCCCCCCTTCCCCTCCTCTCTGTGCCAGTTCAGAAAAAGTGTTGCTCTCTAATCTTTGGGGCACTGAGAATCGGCATTGAGACACCCAGCTACATTTGCTCTGTTTGTTGCATTTGAAAAATCTGTCCTAGTTCCTCTCTGTCTCTTGGGTGTCTGATTTATGACATCAAACCAGAAAAAAAAAGGCAAGAGACTTTCAAGAGTGGAAGTTCTTGTTGGGGGGAAGACGCTAGCCCAGAGCTGTCTTCAGTTGCAGTGCTTGAAAAACAGCATATTCAATTGCTTTTTCTTCTTTGACTGCAATTTTCCAAGGAGTGTGGCTATAATCCTTAAAGATAAGACATCATACATGAACAGTGGCATCTAGAACTATGACTGCAGAATATTTGCAGCTGCTTGGATTTGTGTCAGTGAATTGCACTCTGATGAGATTGGTGGTTGCTTTGGCCACATTTGGCAGCTGATAAAGGTTTATAACTACAGCAATTATCTGTGAGAAAATAAGCTAGACCTAGGTGAATTTAAAAAAAATGCAGAAATATTATCAAACTGTCACTCAAGAATTAACTAACTTTTCTTTTTTTTGCAGCATGCAGGCCTACTGGAAAGAAAAGCACAGTGACAGGTATGTAACACCCAACTCTTGCTCAGGCTGTAATTTCAGTGAGAGCATAAATGCTGGGTGCTCTTGCACAAAAATGGAACCAGTTGCTCATAGTTGCCCTGCTGCCAGCTGGGGTGAAATCCAGGAGCATCCTCTGAAAACACACTCAGCTTTGAAGAGATCACATATCCAGGAAGAACACAAGCATGGCCCAGACCATGGAAAGGACCAAAGCTATCTGTGTCCATGGTGTGAGAACAGAAAATTATCCTCTTTCTTTCTTTTTGGGTCTTTTCAGTCCTGCAGTGGACTTCAGATTTCTGCTCTGCTCCTGGGCCAGGGTTTACTTCAAAGTGGTATTTGAAGATGTGAGGACAGATTGCCAAGACTTAGATGTGGAGATGCTTAAGCCATGATCTGTCCTTCAGAGAGCTGGAATCCCAGGTTCCCAGGTTTCTGCAGTGTGGTCTGGAACAACCAACATCAGGGACCATATTTTGCTGAATCTAGTCTATGCTAACAATGAGGATGATTCAGGCTTATGTTTCTGAGAAGTTACTTAGATGGAAGGAGAGGTTATGCAAGAAGTAGCCTTACATCAGAAGTAACTCTTACATCAATTCCTGAGACCCAGAGTTTCATTTTAAAAATTATAGAACAAATAGGAAAACAGAGTATCATCAGTACTGTACCATCATTCTCTGCAATGTTTCTCTGTGATGATGCTTCAGGTAGCTGTTTTCATTGTTCCATTGGGTGCTCAGATGTAACTCTCACATCCCCCACAGATTGTGTGTAGTATAGGGATGGCAGCAACAACTTTTGTTGACCTCAGCCTCCAACAGACATGAATCCAAGCACATATATTTATTCACATATATATTCAGTATTAAATTGCTGACCTACAAAGCAATTTAAGATGACAGAGCCTGGAAAAGATAAATGAAGAATTTTGTAATATATATTAGAAATTGCAAAAAAAGTATATAATCAGAGTGGTAGCATCTACAAGTTTTTGTAGAAATTTTAATACTTTCAACTTAAAAGTATACCTGAAATGGGACTGCAGGAACTGTATGAAATAAACTAATTTGTTGATTTTAATTTTTTAAGAACTCTTCCTGAAACTTTGGTAAGGTCTGGAATTGCTTTCATCCCTAGAAAAGAGCTTCTGCCATCATTTGTTACCTCAATGGATAGTATGCCTCTCCTCTTTACCTCTCTAAAACCAGTGAGAACTTGTTTTGGAAGCAAGCCTACGGCAAATACCAGACTCCAGAGACCTCAGCTGAATCCTGGAACTTGGTAAGTAGACTTTCTCCACCACTGTTACAAGGAATGAAGAAATATTTTTTTGTAAAATGAATGAAAACCACTGCTGATTTAAATGTTTCAGAAATTCTGAAAGAAGTAGTTATATTTGAGTCTTTTCTTGCAGGAGAAGCATTCAGTAAATCAAATATGTGTATCTAGTTCATACCATAGCTTAGCTGTTTATGTTCTAATTACATAAATATGATCATTAATAATCTTAAATTCAGAATGTCCCTTTCTTCAAAGGTGTGAAAAAACAGCCCTATAGTCCAAGTTATCTTCCTTGTTAAAACAAAAGGTGAATGTGTCCCTAACCTGATCCTGCTTTGAGCATCTTAAAAATCTCCCTTGCTTCTTTCAATACATTTAGTGGCAAAAGCAATTGTGCCTTCAAAATCCTATACAGTTGTTTTTGTGTTACTGTTCCGGCTTTGTATTTAAACTAATTATGAAGTGAAAAACTGGTATAATCTCTCATGGCAAACAGTTTGCTTTTTAATTATGAAGAAGCATGTCACCTAACAAAGTTTCACAGGTGAAGGATCTCCTCTGATCCTCCACAGACTCAATGTTCTGTCTGTTCCCATTCCAGTTAAAGAGAGCTCTTGGAATGATACAACACATTGAGGTTTTCCACTTCCCTTGATAACTGTTGTGGAACAAAGACCTGCTGTGGGAAGAAGATTCAAAAATAATAATGTGATGATAAAACAGATGCTAGCAGTGCAATAAAGATCTCATGTACTCTGGATCACCAATAATAATGATGGATGTCTGTGTGATAGGAACATCTCACCATCCTATGTCAAACATTCTGCTTGTCTCATAGTGCATATAATCGAAATTTTTTCTCCGATATAGTTCACTCAAAGTTCTTATATTATTCATGTATGAGCACTAACTGGAATGAATCAAATACTTTCACACAGTAATAAAACTAATGAATCATGCAGTAAGGTTTAGGTACAAGAGTTTAAGCATGCTAACCAGTTACCATGAATCAGCTGTTTCATGAGAAGTATGCAAAAATACACAATTAAATGTCTATACAAATTTAAACCTTTTTTACAGATTCCCATAGAATATGTTAATTTAACTTTTTCAATAAAAAGTATCTGATATACTTTTTTTTCTTAAAAGAATATATTTTCAACTTCTTTTTTGAAGGAACTCTAAAATTAATCTAAAGTCTAAAATTTCTTTGAGTATTACCCTGAATTTCCTTAGATATCATGTTAAAAGGAATTTCTTTTCTTTATAGTGTTAGTAAATACAGCATTTCCAGAACAAGCACACTGCTCTTTCCAGCACCTAGCCACTGCTTCTGCATGTAACATGCTGCATTCCTGCTTCCACTGGTTTATTTTGAAGAGTATTGCCTTAAACATTTTCGATTTCAGTAAAGGCAATCCTGCATTTTCACTCATATGGTTATTTTTAACAAAAACTATATGGTTCACTCATATAGTTTTTGTTTAAGATCTCTCTATATAAACTACAATGTATTTAGTGGCATCAAGTATTGAGGTTTAACTTTCTATAACATTTAATAGGGAATTAAGATGGTGAAAGAATCTGAATGCTTATGAACGGAGTTTATCCATCCCAAACTTGAAAAGTCATCTTAAATAGACACTTAAATAGTCCTTTTATTCCTAAATTGCCTGTGCATGATATACATTTTTTAAATAAAAGAAAGAAAAACAATTTAGTAACACAAGACACTTAGATAACACCAGAAAATGTGGATATATATTGGACATAAAAGGAACATTTCACTAAAAGATAAAAAAAAATAATTCATAAATGCATTTTTCCTAGTGATGTTTTAAAATTTATGTGAACCAACAAATTTTCTACTTTTTCTTTTATTATTTATAAGATTTTTTTCTTTCCAAAGTCAAATGAATATTAACCATTACCGATATTTTTGATTCCAGGAGAAAATTATAAGTGAGGTGTTTCTTTTCTTCTCGAAAATTTATGTCTAGGGCAATGGCAGAAGTTTCCACCAAGAGCTTCCTGAAAGCACAGTGATGCTCCATCCCTACACAGGGACAGGAAGAGGGCAGGACAAGAGACCACCGTGGCCTAGCAGTGAGCTTTGGGTGTGCCGTAAAGCAAAAGAAGCAGCAGCGGCAGCGGAGTGGCTGGGACTCGGCAGCGCGACCGTCCCAGCGGCCGCAGCGCTGTCAGGCAGCGCCTAGATGCTGGGCACGCTTCCGGCAGCTCTGGTCTCCCCAGAAGTGGGGAATCAGGCAGCCCCTGCCTCAGACCCAGTCAGAAACCCAACCAAGTGAGACCAGAGGCAGGGGCCCCTTCCCATCCCTCTGGGGCACGGCTGCAAAACAGCCGCTGTGTCTTCCTGCGCCTGTGTCTGGGCTGTGCTGAGCCCAGAGCCAGCCAGCTTGGGCTCTGCTGTGCCAAGAGCGTTCTGGGCAGTGTTATAAACAAAAAATATGTCAATTTTTTTTGTGAGAAAAAGGTTACAAAAACTAGTCAGACCAGTGTTGCTGCTAAAGTGCTTCCTGTTTGTTATGAGAATTACAAGTCGTTGTCGTTAATGGTTCTTTTTTGTATCAGTAAAGACCCTGGCTAGGGCTAAGTTAATGGCTCTTCTCCCGAGACAGTGAAGGGAGAAGACCTCCCCAGACAGTGAGGAGAAGGGACGAGAGGTAGGAGGGGGGCACGCAAAATAACCTCAGGACCAGCGTGCCATGAGAAACTACTACTCCAAACTTACTGAGAAGACCGCCAAAACAACAAGCCAATATAGAGTTGGGAAATTGGAGTGATGTCTGGGCATGAGGAACAGAGTGCTGAGCCTGCAGAGATGCTAAAAGCCTTCATTGCCCCTCACCCTGAGCAAGAAAATCCTCTCAAACCCAGGACATGGAGAGAGAAGCTGTAGAGATCAACATCTGGATCACGCTCAACAGGCTCCGACGAGGACTGGACCTCTAGTTCTGCTCCTCTGAGTCACCCTGGGAGAGACAACAGAGACTGCAGACCCGTCAAGTTTCTCAATCTTATGCTGATCAGTTTTATTAAAGGCATTAAAAGGAGAAAAAGTCTCCTGCCCTTCTTATTTCAGGCAGGCAGGTGGGAGCGTTGCGTGCACAGTGGGGAAGGGGCTCACGAGAGCCTCCTGCGGGAACTGGGCTCCGCTCCCTGGCTGGGAACAGCCTGGTTTTGCTGCCGTGAGCGCAGGCAGGAGTTCAGGCACTTGAACAGGCAGCGGACACCTCTTGTTTCTAGGGGGCCAGGGGCTGCGCGCCACAAGGGGCACAAGGAAAGAGACTCGGGAGAAGGACGATGAGCTCGAGCTGCAGTGCCTGTGCTACAAGTGCAGAAGTAATTCAGCCTTGCCAGGGTTTCTTAGGTGTGTGTTGGTGTTGCCCGGGAAATGGACACATCTGGGGAAATGGACACATTTGCGGAAATGCCTTTGGAAGAGAGGGGCTTGCTTCTCAAGCAAAGTGCTTCCCCAGGAGCCCCCCGTGAGGTAGGTGCAGCTGTCTCCCTTTGGCTCCCTGCCCCCCTTTCGTCCTTGAGGCCCCTTGCACTTGGCTGAGGGGCGTGGGAAGGGAGAAGGCTGTGAGGAGCAGTTTTGGCATCTGCCTGGGCCTGAAGAGACCAAGCCAAGCACCAGTGGCGGCAGGGTGTGTCCTGCCCCTTTCAGCACAGGACAGAGAGGGATCATCTCTGTCCAGCCGAGAGCCCCAAATGCCTCTCAGAGAGCTGTGAATTCAAAGGCCTTTATGCACACATTGATGCCATCTTCCCTATCTGCTGTGTTTGAACTCTTGGCAAGAGGCATTTGCCTCTTGCTTGCTGGAAGCTGCTCTGCTCCAGGGCCGGCACCGAGCTGGGCTGTGCGGGCACCTTGGAGAGTCCTTCCCCGAGCACTTGGCGGGTCATGGTGTGTCCAGGGCTGTGTTAGACACTCGGGGCAATGGATTTCTTCCAAGCGGGGGCACCTAGGGTGGGGAGGGGGTGGCCCTGGGGCACGTGGAAGCATGTCCCTTTGTGACACGGTGGAGCAGGGTGACCGTGGAACCGAAAGGGACAGCGTGTCTGAGCAGCCCTTTGTGACACACGCTGACATAGGGGCTGGCACGGCGCAGCCACGCCACAGTGCTCGGTGCACGCGACGGGACAGGAGGTGACAGAGCAGTGCTGTGAGGCGACCCCGCACAGCCGGCTCGTTGGTTGCTGACCCGAAGCATTTCCGAGGCGTTCCTCCTGTGGCTGGCCTCACGGCCAGACCTCGGGATTCGGTGACTCGGAGCTTTTCCGAGTCATCTCCCATCCCTGCGGCCGGTGCCCTCGTGGCCAGGCCGTGGGACTTGGTGACCTCCATCGTTCACCAGGAGTCTCCTGTCATTGTGACAGGAGACCTCGAGTGCAGGACTTGCTGTCCTGTAGCCTTCCTGAGGCTCCTCTGTTGCAGGTGCCCGCAAGGCACAACTGCAGCATTCGCTGACTCTGGCCTTGGCCGAGGCATTTGAAAGTGCCCTCAAGGTCAGACAGCGGGATGGCGGGCAGACTGCTCAGCCGGTTCAAGGGGCTTCGGGGCAAGAACAGCAAAGGCCCTGCAGCTGCCCCAGCGCAGCAGCATGCACAGCCGGAGCAGTTGCAGCCGCTGCAGGACAGTGAGTGGCAGAGCTGGGCCGCAGGGCCGGTGCCTGCAGCCGGCTTGGGCCCCATCCCATCCCATCCCATCCCATCCCATCCCATCCCATCCCATCCCATCCCATCCCATCCCATCCCATCCCATCCCATCCCATCCCATCCCTGTTGACATGCCCATGGACAGGATGGGACAGGGGCTGGGGCTGCCTCCCCGTTGGCCGTGCTCCGTGCCCCCGGCGCCCAGGGGGCTGTACCTGCCTGGGGAGCGCAGGGCTGGGCTGTGTTCTCCGGCCTCTCCCGCAGCCCCTCAGCTCTGGCTGTGCTCACTCTTTGGCAGATGCAGCCAGGGACCAGACTCAAGAGCAGGAGCCCACCCGTGGCCGCTTCCGGAGAGCAGCGCAGGTACCTGCGGCCATCCCCACCTGGGCCGGGCCTGCTGGCACTGCTCAGCCGGGCCCTGCCTTGGAGCAGACCATGGAACGTCCCTCTCTTCTTCCCGCCCTTCCCTTCTGTTGCAGACACTGAGGAGGTTCCTGTGCCTTCGGCGGCGCACTAAGACCAGCGGCCCCGTGCCCGAGGGCCCGGCCGAGCCCGGACCCGTGCCCGAAGGCCCGGCTGAGCCCGGCCCTGCGCCCAAGGGCACGGCCGAGCCCGGCCCCGCGCCTGAAGGCCTGGCCGAGCCCGGCACCGCGCCCAAGGGCGCGGCCGAGCCCGACCCCAGGCCCAGCGAGCTGCGGGCAGAGGCTGCTTCCAGCACTGCATCCTCTGACCTGGCTGCCAGCTCTGACTTGGAAACCGACGAGGGCTGGGAGGAGGCTGACATGGCCCCCACGGAGGGCATGGCCACCACCAACACCATCACCCAGGGCATCCCAGAGACTGAGGCCATGCCTACGCTCACTGTGAGTCCTTGACCCACTCTGGAGTTTTTCCAGAAGGTTTTTATTCTCTGCAGCAGCCTGGGGCCAGGGCTGAGGGCCTCTCAGGATCACATGGCCCCTCAAGCCATGTCCGCTGGGCCCCCTCAGCCCCATCACAGTGGGCTGGGAAGGCGAGCACTTCTGGGGGGAAGCTGGGCAAGTTGCTCCTTTGGACAGCACTCCAAGTCTTCTCCATGTCGCTTCCTCCAGGTGCAAGCTGTGGTGAGTGCCATCCTGCAGAGACTCTGGTCCCGTGAGTCTGTGGACGCCGGGCTGCAAATGGCCATTGTCAGCCTCACTGAAGAACACCCTGCCCACGTTGTGATGAGCCTCCTGCGCTGTGCCCCAACGTGTGACGGGTACGGGGCACAAGTGCCTCGAGAGCTCGGTGCTCACCGGCCCGTAGGGCCCCTCGCCCTGTACAGCCTGTCCGGCGGGGTCTGCCAGACGGGCGGAGAGCACCGGCACCCTCGGGCCCCTCTGTTTCCTGAGCCTGCTGCCATGCTCCCTCCCGGCCCCACGCAGCTGCACGGGGCACGGTACTGAAGCACAGCTCTCGCCCCACAGAGCCGCTGCACTGCTATGGAGAGCCATGGGCACCTCAGAGGTAGCCGTGGAGGAGGTGCTTCCAGCTCTGCTCTCTGCGATAGAGGAGCAGCCACCGTACGGCGGCTTCCTCTGCAGCGGGGACAACGAGGCCGTCCTTGCCCTGGCTGTGAGTTTCTGGAGCTGGCCTAGGCTGGCACTCCAGGTCACCTTCTCAGAAGCTCTCCATGCTCTCCCCACCCTCCAGCTCCCTGCCTGGGCTGAAAGCTGGGCTAGGGCCAGCAGGCCGGGTGCTCCCCTGCCTCTCACCCCCGGCCCTGCCTCACAGACACCTCGGCACTGAGCGCTGCCTCGGGGCGCTTTGTCTCTTGCAGGCAACTCTGGTGCTGTGGAGGATTGCAAGCATGCCCGAGTGGCACTACGCAATCCTCCTTCATTCTCCACGCCTGTTGGTGGCTCTGCTCTTGCAAATTGTCACCACCACGGAGCAGAGGCCAGAGGACCTGGAGACCCAGCGCTTCTGGAGAGCGTGCCGGGAGGAACACGGCCTTCCCAGCAAGCCCAACAGGTGCCAGTCGCCCTGTCCTTCCCACACCCTTGCGGCCAGGGCCAGTGCTCCCAGAGTGACCTGGCCTTGGCTCGGCACACAGGTTTGCAGTGCAGACCATGAAGGCTCTGCTCTCGCGACTGGGCTTTGGCAAGAACCTGCTGGCTCTGGAGCACAAGCAGCTCTGGGACACCCTGCTCTGTGCAGACACCCAGCATTATGCAGCGGGCCTGCTGGCCAGGTGAGATCCCCTACTCCCAGCCGCCACCGCCACCGTTTGTGCCCCGTGCCCGGAGTGCCCCACACAGTCCCGGGGGCTTGTAAGCGAGAGGGCCTCGTCACCGAGGGAGGGCCGAGCAGACTGCAAAGGGTCGGGAGAGGAGGATGTCCAGCAGCAGCTGCCACTCAAGGGGCCCATGTCCCCTTGCGGAGTG